GCTTCTGCAGAAATGGGAAGAGGATTGGAGGCCGGTAGCCTATATGTCACGTTCTCTCACACAGACGGAGCAGAGATACGCACAGGTAGAAAAGGAAGCTTTAGGCTTAACCTGGGCTTGTGAAAGGTTTCGCAACTTTCTCATCGGTAGACACTTTGAGCTGGAAACGGATCATAAACCTCTACTGAGTCTCCTGGGGTCTCAGGCATTGGATGCGCTTCCCCCACGGATTCAACGTTTCCGGATGCGCCTGATGCGTTATTCCTACTCAATCACACATGTGCCAGGGAAAAGCCTGTGGACGGCTGATACACTGTCACGTGCACCTGTGAAAAGAGACGCCACACCAGATGAAAAAGAGTTCCTCGAGAGCACGAATATCTATGTGGACATGATTATCGATGGTTTGCCAGCAAGCACGGCTTACCTGGAAGAGTTAAAAGAGCAGTTGGCAAAGGACAGTGTGTGCGGAAGAGTGATGCAGCTGTGTGAAGAGAAATGGCCAGCACACAGCAACAGCGAACCAGCCATAAAGTTATACTGGGCGGAACAAGCGTTCATAACTGTAAAGGACGGACTACTGTTAAAGGGGGACAGACTCGTCATCCCCGCAACAATGAGAAATGATGTGCTCGCCAGACTACATGAAGGTCACCAAGGAGTGGTGAAGTGTAGGGAGCGTGCCCGACAGTCTGTATGGTGGCCAGGGCTAAGTCAGCAGCTGAATGAGTTGGTTCTCAACTGCCGGACATGCAGCAAGGAGAGACAGAACCCCAAAGAGCCGCTGATGCCAACACAATACCCAGGCCGACCATGGCAGAAACTGGGTGCCGACTTGTTTATGCTGGGAAGCAAGTCATATCTGCTGGTAGTGGATTATGCATCAAGGTATGTGGAAATGGCTTTGCTGACACCCACAAGATCAACAGATGTAATCCACCATCTCAAATCCATCTTTGCACGACATGGTATCCCTGAGACGCTGGTCACAGACAACGGGTTGCAGTTCTCGGGAAGGGCATTTGAAGAGTTTGCAGAGTCGTATGGATTTAAATACGTCACCAGCTTTCTCCTTAAGAAAGCAGCAGACCCATATCTGGCTCTGCTGGCTTACAGAACCACCTCACTACAAAACGGGTATAGCCCTGCGCAACTTCTCATGGGGAGGAGGCTTCGCACGACGCTGCCAACATTACCAGCGCTGCTGGATCCGGCTCTTCCCGACATCGAGGCTTTAGTTCTGCGAGAAAGAGAGAGGAGAATAAAGGATGCACAGCGGTACAACCTGCGTCATCGAGTGAGAAGTCTTGAGAGGCTTGCACCGGGAAAAGAGGTTTGGGTCATGGATCAGAAGGCGAGTGGAACGGTTATGGGAAGTCACTCCTACATTCTTGAGGGACCTCATGGGACAGTCCGGCGTAATCGCCATCATCTCATCCCCATGTACTCCTCGTCAGAGCAGAGCGGCAGGGATGCAGCTGAGCAGCATTCAGGAGGTGGTCCAGAGCCGCATATTGCAGAACCTCCGGAGCCCGGTGCTCAAGATCTGCCACCTACCCTGAGAACCAGGTCTGGGAGAGCCGTGGTGAGACCGGCTAGGTTGGACTTGTAAACAAACCAGAAGTCTAAGAGATATTATAGAGAGTTTTATAAGAGAGTAAAAAAAAACTGGTTATTATTAATGTTGTGCATTAATGTTGTGTAATACACAAAATATCATAGGGTTACATTTAGGTCATGAAGGTCTGGAGTTGTTGTTATTTTATATCTGCTTCAGATAGGAACAGACCTTCCACCCTACAGAGGCAGAATAATCCTCTAAGGTCTGTGGAGTCAATGGCAGTCTACCCATTGATTCATAAAAAGGGAGATGTGGTGTTATTGTATATGTGTGTGTGTTAGCCAATAGGAGTGAAGCCTTACGGGCACGGTTCATTGACGTCATAGGCAGACGACATGTTATGGTAACGGAGCATGTGAGCTAGGAGTGTTCTAGCATGTGGGCTACCAATAAAGAGACACGTAATTGTGACAGTTGAACTCACGTGTATTATTGAATAACACGACACATGCATGGTTCCTCCGGTTTGTATCCCGTTAATAGTTCTGGTCGTAAAGAACTGGGTGATATGCTTCCGTAATTTCTCGTTTGGAATATGAGGAAATGAACTGCGGTCTGGTTCTCCTTGTTTACACGCGGTTTGATTGGCTAGCGCTTCTACTGTCAGATTTGCATAAACGGGATTTGATTGGCTGACGCTTCCAGCTCAGCTTCAAAAGTTGAACATTGCTCAACTTTTGAATCCTGAAAATCCTGGAAATCTTCGCTTCGCTCCCCCACAATGCAGTTCGGCGAAAAGCGAGGCAAAGTGACGTCATCCCCATTCGAAGTCAATGGGCAGAGAAGCGTTGGAAGATTTGTGAAAAGCTGCTGTGTGGACGTACCTTTAGGCTTGTTTGAGACGCGTTGCGGCTCGCCTCGAAAGTAGACGAGAGTAGCCGATCGCAGCTGGGGAAGGTCTCAAAAAGCTCGCCTGAAGTCGGACAGCTCCGCTTCTTCTTCGTCTTCGTCTTCTTCTTCTTCTTCTCTCGGTTTTTTTGGCGGATTGCAAACAACTTTAATTTGCATACCGCCACCTCCGGAGTCGGCTTGACTCGGTTTGCATTTATAAAGAATGCACACGTGTTTAATCGTTAATGTCAGATATGTACTAAGTAAATACATTTGTTCCTGCTCAAGATTAGATTCAACTTTATTGTTATTGCACATATTACAGGCAGGGGCGTAGCTGGAAATTCTGGGCCCCATGAAAGAATCTATTTGTTGGCCCCCAATCCATGCGAGTGCGCATTAGCGGGCACGCTAAAAAAATGTTGGCCATTTAGATAATATGGTTTTTACCTATACATTCGGATCAGCAGTTCAGCACCTGAACTGTTGGTGGGTGAGCCTAGTAAAGGATGTCGCATTGCGTTCATCTTTAATGAATGGACCAATGCAATAGTCTACCAAAGAACCTTGAGTCGCACTAGCTAGGCATATTTTCCCCTATTCTTGTGACAATGTTTTCTGATACTCAACATACAAAAGCTGTTACTTGTCCTGTCTCTCTGTAATCCCATCTCCAACACAAATAGTCTACTCAAGCACACTATTAGGTTGACAGACACTTACATTTTGATGTGCTCTGTAGTATACAATCGTTCCCTGCTTGGATATACCTTTTACGAAGCAGATTTTGAACTGTCGCGGGCAGAGCACTAGCTTTTTTCCTGTAGCGGCCGGGTTGCTGCCTTTCTCAGCAGAGTGCTAAAGCCCTACCTGTTACACGCGCAAGTAATTCGAGGAGGCTCGAGTGACAAGTGTTGAGCTATTGGTGGGGACAATTCAGGATTCTTGGATACTGGTGGGGTCATGACCTTGCATCCACCCCCTAAACGACACGATGAAACCCAACCTCGAAAAACCCTGTTGAAGTTAATGAACTGTAATGGACTGCAAGAAATCAACATGTCAGTCTATCAACTTTATCTTCTGTCTATTTAATTGAAAATTACACCCAATACAGGAATGAACAAACAAAAAATCTCAACATTCTTTGACTTATTAAATTAAGATTTGAAAAACACAAGGACAAAAGTATAAATTAACTGAAGATTTGAACACAATTATAAAACAATAAACTCTCAGGACATGAACACACTTACAGCAAACAATGAAAAATGTAGTGCTAGAGGACTATGCATCAGATAGTAATTGTTCACAATGTGGGCTGTCAGCTTACTATAGGGAAACATCCCACAATCCTGTCATAGACTGGATTTATATCCCTAAATCCCGAACGCCAATCGCCGGACCTTCTTGGTGGCAACATCTTTTACGAGCTCTTTGAAATCAAGTGACAGAGCCAGCTTGCTTTCAATCGATAACATTGCAAGGCTGTTCAACCTCTCTTAAATAAATAGCTCTTGATAAGTTTCAACTTACTAAATGATCTTTCACCACCAGCTACGGTAACTGGGAGTGTCAAGAAAATTCTGAGGGCAATGCAAACGTCTCCAAAAATGCTCTGGAGTTCCATCTTATATATTGCATTTAGTAGATCAAGAGAGCTACAATCAGGGGGGAAAGTGGCAGAAAATATTTTATTGAGATGCCTTATCTCACTCTCAAACTGATCTGTGAGATCCTGTGAGCATTTCTCCCTCAGTGGCTGACACACAGAAGCCATGACACTGTCACTCAACTTCCCAATTTTAAGTATGGCAGCAAATTCTTCAACAATATTTGCTGTTGTTTGGAACCGAGTGTCCAAGTCACTTATGATCTGGTCCATGGCAGTGAAAAACACAGTGTTACGGAATGTTGTTTCTGGCCTATCCTCCTGACCTGTTCCTTCAGCAGTTTCATCATGAAACCTCTTCCTCCTCTTCCTCTCACGGCAAAGTTCTTTTTTTAAATGAGGTGGAACCTCCATTTCCTTAGCTACCATTGATGCCTCAGACAGAATAGCATCCCATCCATTTCTGAGAGTCTGCATCTCATCTCTTAGTGCAGCAACATTACCTGCCTCCACCTCTATTGAGATTTTCCCTGACTGGAGTATCACATTTCTGTCATCAATAGATTGCAAGACTTTCACCCAAATGGTGAGAAGGACAATGGCATCAAATGACATGAGGTAGTTCCTCAGACCAACAGCTTCAGATCTGGCCTCACCTGTGAGACTGCATGAGCTCAGTATGGTAGCAAGGGCTTCAATGACACCAGGTAGGTGCTTTGCTACAGGTTTCACAGCATCAATTCTCGCACTCCAGAGCAACCTGTTTTCTTTTTGTATATAGACCAACGAGATGGACTGGCACTTACAAATGTGTAGAGGCGGTTAATGTAACCAAAAAGGTTGGACACTTCAGGGCTCGATTCTGCAGCATGCACGCCTACCAGATTCAACGTGTGGGAGGCATAAGGTGAGAAAGTAGCAAGATTATTCTTTTTCAGTATTTGGGCTTGGACTCCCTTGATTTTCCCTGACATATTCGCCCCATTATCATATCCTTGCCCCCTGCAATCACTAATGTCTATCCCTAGATCCAGAAGCACACTCTCCATCATGCCTGCTATTTCACATCCTGTTTTTCCGTTGAAATCTTTGAATTCAATAAATCTTTCAGTAATCTCCCATTCGCCTGTGTCTTCATTATAATGTACATATCTTATAAGCACAACATTTTGCTCGGTGTGGGAAATGTCAGGCGTTGCATCACAAATGATTCCATAGTATATGGCATTCTCCCTTTCTGTCAGAATAGTTTTTAAAACCTTTCCCCCACACAATTCAATAAACTCGTTCTGGATGTCTGGGCTCAGATAATGAGTTAGCTGGCTTCCTTTTTTGGATGTCCTGATTTTGTCTAAGTGGTCTTTCAAGAGTGGATCATATCGTGACAAAAGTTCTAGCGTACCTACAATATTTCCATTGTGGACATCGCCCAAAGCATGCGTTTTACCTCGGAAAGCTAAATTCCTCGTTGCCAAGTGCAGAATGACATCAAGGAGTCTCTGCAAGATAGCTTTGTTTTTCTCAATTTCAGACTGTAGCTCTCTCTGCAACTGATGATCAACGCCACATGCAGTCATAACCGAACACTGTAGGTGTTTCCATCGCAAATAACAGTCCCTGTGATTCCTACTTGTTTCATGGCTTGGGAATTTATCATACATGCGACGCCACTCGACGTCACACATCTTGTATCCCTGGTCACTACTCAAAGCACTAAGAGAGGGTATTTTTTACTCTTTGGAGAAAAGAACACATGGTATGCAGAACAGTGCATTTGCACTTTCACTGTGAATCAACCAGTTCCTTTTCACTTTTCCTCTACCCTTATCTGCTTTGGTGTATTTCAAGTAATCTGGAAATCTCTTTCCCTTTGAATCATGTGGAAATTCTTGATCTGTTTCTCGCATTGCTAATTTCTTTACAATAGTTGCCCTGTCCTTGTCACTCATCCTAGCTGGGAACAACCCTGGGTCAAGTGATAGCAGATCTTCTACCTCAGACACCACTACAGGTGGCTCAGTATCTGTGGCATCCTGTGTCGGAGCCTCACTTTGTCCCTGACATTGACTGTCCATAGCTGCTTCCTCCTCATCTGTGCTGCTTTCATGGTCCTCGACCTCTTCTTGTACTGGTACTTCTGCCTCTTCACCTCTGCTCTCCTCGTTGGCTGCCTTGCTCGAGGGCCCTGGCTCTAGAGTATCCATAGTGTACATAATTTATAAAATGCTCTATAATAGTAATAACCAGTGTTGTGCTAGTTACTGAAAACCAGTAACTAGTTACCATTACTAGTTACTTCATGGTAAAAGTAACTCAGTTACTTTACTAGTTACTTGAACCCAAAAGTAATGCGTTACTGTGAAAAGTAACGTTTTCGTTACTCCCATTAATGCCCTTATAGCCTTCATTTCAGTACTGTTATTGCATTGGAGAATAATACAATCTGTTGATCAACTTGACATGCCTTATATGCAATCTGGATTGCATCGATATTAGCTGGCTTTCCATTTTTGTATATTCTTTCTCCAGGTAGTTGGAAAAAGTTTTCCGTCCCATATGCCGTGTGCCGCCCGGACATGCTATCATGCTAACTAGCTCCCTGAAAGCGGGTGACTCCACTGTAGCAATAGCCTGCATGTGTTCTACAACATACCGTGCAATGGCTTTATCGACTTTTCCCTGGCTAGCAGTCCCTTGGTTAAAATCCAGCCGCTGTTGCTTAGGTGGAGGTGGAGTGGCGTCGGCTGAGTCTCTGTGATCTTAGCTACTAGCTTCGTCCCAGCATGTTGTTTTTGCAGATGTTTTAAGAGATTTTAATGACTGGTTTGGGCAGTAGATAGGATCTTTGACCCGCCAGGACACAACTTACATTTAACTAAAACGTTCTTTTCTTTGTGCTCGACAAAAGTGAAATAGTGAGAATATCTCCAGGTGGAGAAACTAGACTTGAGCTCCGCCGCCGCCATGATAGTCTTGTTAGTCAACAACACAAACACGCCCACAGCCCGTCTCCGCATGTGACACAGGAAGTATCTAAGTACATTTACTCAAGTAATATACTTAAGTACAGTTATCATCTCTGTTCGCCTGGCTGTTGACTATATAAAAAAACTAAAAAAGTAACGGAGTAACGTACCATGTAGTAACGGTAACTGAGTTACTGAATGTAAAAAGTAATGCGTTAGAGTACTAGTTACTGCCAACAATAACGGCGTTACAGTAACGCGTTAGTCCCAACACTGGTAATAACACAGTACAGCTCGAGCTATCTCTTAATTGTTATAATAATAATAATAATAATAATCATTTGTATAGATATCTTCCAATTGCTCAAATCTAGCTATAGCTACTGTAACAACCTCAATGTAATGTTCCAGTGGTCAATGGTATTGCAATTACTGGAAGAACTAGAGTAACTTAATGTGAATATTACTTAAAGTTGTATTCAATGCATGGTAAGCATATTTAAAATCTGTTTGTTAACCCCAAGCCCTGCTGCTTTACCTCCCTCTCCTTCAACTGGGAGCTGGCCTGAGGGAAGGGGTACTGATCCTGAAGCCGCATCTGTGCATTAGAGCAGATGTGATTAGCATGTAACATTATACAGGTTAGGTTAGCTAGCCATAGCAAAAGGGCATAGCTGCTGGATACAAATTCACTGGGCTCATCTACACTCATCTAATTTTTGATAGCAACAGGTAGCTAACGTCAGCCACAAAATGTTGGCCAAGCTGTTATGGGCTTCAAAACAAGTTCTGTGAATAAATACCTTTCTTGTGAAAATACTTGGTGACTAGCTGTCGACCTCTTTTATTATTTTCCTCTTGCTGACGTTTTTTCTTTCGTTTCTGAGCTCCTGATTCATGAGCTGTAGAGGACATTTTCCTGTCAGTCTGTTCAAGCTGCAAGCTGCTGGTGCGCTGCTGTGCCGCCTAGTTATAGTTGAAAGTGGGGGTGCAAGATTAGTAACTGGCAGGCAAGGGGTGGTTTGGAGTGGGTCAGGCACGACCACCTCCATGGCAGAATTTTTTTAATTTAATGAACACCTGTACGTGCAATTTCCTGCAATATAGAGCACAGAACTGTCTCAAAATCCTATGGGATCCTAAAGGATTCCTATAGGGTTCCAAAAACGTATAGAGATTCCTATAGCATTTTTTTTTACTAGGGATGTTATCCTACACTTTAAGCTGTCTGATATCCCATTACCTGTAACTCTTGGGTCTCTTTCTCACTTCCTCTGCCTCCTCCCTGAGTCTGCACAGTCACCACATCATTCTACATTAAGTAGAGCAATACACTTATGAGTACACTGAACTGGTTTGAATACACAATCTTTATGCTACTCTGTAAAGAAAGGGAGAGAGGGGGGAATATATTATCCAAGTATTTGTGTCTTAATTTGTTATGTTATCCTACACTTTAAGCTGACTGATATTTCCATTACCTGTAACTCTTGTGTCTCTTTCTCTCCTTCTCTGCCTCCTCCCTGAGTCTGCACTGTCACCACCACATCATTCTACACAGGAGAGCAATACACGTATGAATACACTGAACTGGGTTGAATACATGAGTTTTTCTTTTTTCTGCCATGTTCTACCTGGTTGGCTGCCCACACACACACACACACACACACACACACACACACACACACACACACACACACACACACACACACACACACACACACACACACACACACACACACACACACACACACACACACACACACACACACACACACACACACACACACACACACACAATAATAATAATAATGCATTTTATTTATGGGCGCCTTTCAAAGCTCTCAAGGACCACCTTACAGAGCATAATTAAAAACAATCAACAAAGAAGAGCACACAGTAATACAAGACTTAAAAAAAAATACTTACAGTGTGCAGGTTAGTTACAGTAGGAGCATTTCGCTTCCGCAGCCAGTGGTGAGGAACTGCGCCGCCTCGCTCTCAAGGCTGCGGGCGTCTTTGTCCCGCGAGATTTCAACGTCGGACAAAATTACTAACCATCATGCAACGCACAAGCAAGAGGCTTGTTTGAGACAAGCGAGACCTGCGCAGACCTGCGCAATTTCGATCAACGTCTTGCTCGTGCGTTGCATGATGGTTAGTCATTTTGTCCGACTTGCTCTGGAGGCTCGCCAACATGAGACGTTGAAATCTCGCGGGACAAAGACGCCCGCAGCCTTGAGAGCGAGGCGCGGCGGCGCAGTTGCTCTCCACGGGCTGCGGAAGCGAAATGCTTGATGGGAAACGACTCGCTGGTATCTCGAGCTGAGCGCTCATTGGTGGTTTTTACCACGTGCTGGTGATGAAACTCTCCAATTGGCTCGGCAAAAGTTTGTTGTTATTTTGTGTCAGTTTTACGTCGCCACTTCCATTCACATTTTTCATCATTGTTCCACAATATTTATCATCATTAAATTAATATCTATATATTTTATACTATACTTGCACTGCTTACCGTTTTCATACTTTATATATCTTAGCATATTCATACACACTGTTCATACTGCTCACAGGCTGATATCTAGTGTATTCATACCCCTCACTGTTTATTCATCATTCAATTCATTCTATATTTTATTCTGTCTATTATGTACATTACTTTTCACTTTACTGCTTGTTGCACCTGGTTAGAAGCTAAACTGCATTTCGTTGTCTCAGTACCTGTAATATGTGCAATAACAATAAAGTTGAATCTAATCTTGAGCAGGAACACATGTGTGCATTCTTTATACATGCAAACCGAGTCAAGCCGACTCCGGAGGTGGCGGTATGCACCTTAAAGTTGTTTGCAATCCGCCAAAAAACCGAGAGAAGAAGAAGAAGAAGCCGACTCCGAGCTGTCTGACTTCAGGCGAGCTTTTTTGAGACCTCCCCCGGCTGCGATCGGCTATTCTCGTCTACTTTCGAGGCGAGCCGCAACGCGTCTCAAACAAGCCTAATATGTTGATCGTAATAGCGCAGGTCTGCGCAGGTCTGCGCAGGTCTCGCTTGTCTCAAACAAGCCTCTTCACTCTCAGGACAGTTCCGGTGCAGACCTTCACTCTCAGGACAGGAAGTGCACGCTAAGAATTCCAAAATAAAATCACTACTATCAGTACAGTGCCACTTTCCAAACAGGAAATGCACGCAAATACAAAATAAAATCGGATCTTGCCGGATCGTGACACTTATTATATACATATGTATATATCTATATATATATACGGACACCTTGTATTGTTGTTACTATCAGTAGGCTACAGCCGCAGCGCCACTTTCCGAACAGGAAATGCACGCAAATACAAAATAAAATCGTACTGACACTTATTATCTATATAGATATATATTTATTTATATATATATATAAATACGACATCTTGTATTTTAGTTACACCCGCTAGACAACAGTGGAAGGTTCGAGAAACAACCGTGTTTGCCGGGTGCACCGCGCATGGATGTATAATAAGAACTGGATACAGCGTGGGAGGCGGGGCCTCATTAATTCCTATGAGAGTTGCTCATTAGCGCATGATGACAAAATGGCCCAACTTTTGAGAGAGCGAAACGTCAAAGATTACCCGGCATGCCTGAGAAGTACCCGTTTGTGCGCTCAGAGCGCATGCGCAACTTTAACCACGCCGCCCAAAAGGCTCGTTCACATTAAGCACGTGAATTTGCGTACACGTAACAGCACCGCGCGTTCATGACAGCATGGTACTGGATTTATATTAACGAGGCGGCAGTTAGCAGCTAGCGGCTAGCTAGTAAATTATGCTAAATTACACATCAATCGTTATGTACTTTTATATTACGCTGACATCAGGATCTAGTGATATCCAAGCAACAGAGCTTCATTTAGCATGATACTTGGTTGTACATGAAACCACTTGGTAATATATATTAAAATGTATATGTTGAAGCCTGTTATGATCAATTGTGAGTTAAAACTTTATCTAAAAAGTAAAGCTGATGATGGATTACTGTGGTGGAGTTAAAATAACAATAGCCTATTTCTTTTTGAAATGTGATGGAGTAAAAGGATAGTAACTGTGATTATTCATGTTAAGTAGCCCACAAGTAACTAAAACAATTGCAAGTGCAATAAGAAGCTACAGGAACGTTAATCTACGTCGGTAATATTAACTTGATTTAATACAACATTTACGGTACAAGATTTACATCATACAACCCATGTAGTATAAAAATGATGAATTACAGCAAACATGTGCAATATATCCATTATTACAGCTCCGTGGGCAGTAAGGCGATATGGTCCGTTGTTATTGTGCATCTATGGGTAAAGATAAACACATGTAGTGCCGAACACGTAACATGAACGTGCCGGGCAGCGCGGTCCCGTGGGTTAGATGCGCGTTCATAATGCCGAGGGAAATAACTCTCAGAATAACGTTATTAGCACATTTTTACAACTTGAGGAACGAATGTTTTTAATAAGGGATATACAAGTGTTCATACTGGGTTGTTTATTTAGTTTAAAAAAAATTATTCAACGAGTTACAGACCACTCTTTCCCAATGTAAGTCAATGGGAAAAAGTGTTTCCGGGCCCAGCAACCTAAAGGAAGTGTAGTACCGCTGTTTGGCCACTACGAATATTCTCATTAGACTCCGGCGCACTTCCTGGGGGCTTGAGATCTACCCGCACCACACTCACCTTAGTGATACAGGAAGACATCTTTATAAAATGCAAAGGTATGTGGGGGATGGAACGAAGGTGGGGTTTAAAAGCAGGGAGGAACATGTCACCGCGGCGGAGGTGGGGAGGTTCCTACGGTGGCCTTGAAGTGCAAGACACCACAGCATTTCACAAAACACTACAGCATTTCACAAAACACAACACCATTTAAGAATGGCGTTTATCTTTTTTGAGAATGAGTTCTTATTTGTTTTAACGTATTTGGGTCTATAACAGATGATACAAATGTTTGTGTCAGTAAATGTGTGCAAACAGAGGCGGGGGTGTGTGTGGAAATAACGGGGACAGAGCTGGCTGCTGTCAGACGATCAGCTGTGCAGCGTCATCACAAACGGACGTCGCTTCACGTGACGCTCCGGAGGAAAGGCCCTGTCACACTGTCCCGAAATTGACTCCCGATGGACACACGAATATGGAATTGTGAATTTCGCACGAAGATGGCCCCGAACCACACACGAAGGCAACATTTACATTACATTTAAGACATACAACTGCAATGAAAGTACCAAAAACAATTATGTTACAGTACTATGATACTGTACTGATATCTTCAGACTTTGTTCTTTACTTTATCGGTCGTTATATGTAGAAAATATTACGTTTTCTCGTTTCCATAACAACAACAACTTCCTGTCAACTGTCCTTCAAAATATATATTATATCCTTTTTAGTTTCACAGAACACAAATTGGGTTATTTACATAATATATTTACATGATTTTGTTGTGCAATAAAACAACCCGATGGACACACGATAAAGGAAATGTTCAAATTCGGCTCTGATCGTAGCAACATCGGACCATTCGTGAGGGCATCTTAGGCCTTCGTATGACCGCCGGTGGAGTTTCTCAGGCTCCGGCAGCAACTTCATGAGCGGTGGCAAAATCTTTGGCATGCCAAAAAATAGCCGAAGGACCTTGCGAAGGTTCATTTTCGTGTTGAATTCGTGTGTCAATTTTGCCCTTCGTAAGGCCATCATGAGGGCATCTTGTTATCATCTGTGCCATCGGGCATTCGCCCCGATCAGAGTGAGGGCGAATGCACCGATGATAACACGAAGATGACACGATTTGACAAGATGCCCTCACGAGTACCTTACGAAGTTGCCGTCAATATATCATTAACATTTCCATTGGCGTAGGAAGCATCCTGAATGTGGGGCGGACATTTTTAACGGGGCGTCCTCCCCCACAGAAAAAAAAATGTATTTCCTGTATTCTGGTGCATTTTAACAGGTGGTTTGATACTTTTATGTGGCTATACTAGCATGAGGAAAATGATGGGTACATTTTGTAATTTCATCCAGTAGTAAAGAAAGGAAACATATTTGATTATTAATTCAGAGCCGTCTTTTAATTAATAAAAAGCAGTTTAAATGCCCATTTTTTGTACATTTATATACAACAATAAATATTTGTGAGTGCGTTGAGAGATATTGTTGTGGAGAGTCATTTATATATACATCGCAAAATATATTTGTGAATCCTTCTGTGAGCATTTATTAATATTGAGACTGATCTGACTCCATACAGATGTCACCTAGGAATGGTATCATTGACTTAAATGTTCAAATAAATGTTGCTCTTCTGTCTATATTGGTCATATGATGCCCCTTGACTGAAATGCTTCCTGTTCAATATCCCCACTGATTTCCTTAACATTCTGGGATGAGAGTCGCAATTTACTCTAAACTGTCATTTCCCTTTCATCACTCACCTCAGCAACGGACCTCTCTCCACTGTCCCTGTGTTCTGCCTCTGACTCACTCTCAAGCGCCTAGATGTCAAGAGAGGTTGTGAAGTGATCATTATTTATTGAGCAGTATACTCTTTCACATTGAATCATAACAAGTCTACTGATTGTAAATACAACTGACTCTAAAGTAAGTCCCAGTCTGTGATATTGGACATTTTGAAGACTCAAAGTCCCAAGCAGTAGGTAGAATATTAGCTAGTCTATGTAATGTGCACAGAAAATAAACAGTTAACTGAATACTGGGATGGAAATTGCCTATAAGCACTCAGTAAAACATAAACACACACAAAAAGCTTGTGAATGATAAGAAGTATAATTAAAACATAATGCACATTATCATTTTGGGAGAGAGTACCTGTCACGATCTGTCTTTATGGTGTTTTGTCTTGTCTATATCTGTTTTAGGTTTTCTGTCTGCGTTGTGTTTTGTCTTGTTTAGATCTGTCTGTGGTTCCCTGTCGTTAGTTTCCCTGGTGTGTCTGATTACCCGATTGTGTTCACCTGTGGCCCCTGTGTTTTCTCCTCCCTCCTCACCTGTGTCTTGT